CTTCGTCAAGACAAAGAGCAGCAACAGCATAAATATCTGTGCTGCAGCTGCTGCCGCAGCTGCAGCAGCAAAGGGCCGCAGGGCCACGTCGGCTCCCTGAAGTTTATTTCTTGCTGCACATCGTGAAAGAACAAATGCTGCTGCTGCTGCTGCTGCTGCTGCTGCGGCAGCCCCCACTCCACTGCTGCTGCTGCTGCTGCTGTTGCTGCTGGAGACCTCGAACCACCGCCAGCAGCAGCAGCAGCAGCAGCAGCAGCAGCAGCACAAGTAACATCATCCTCAGGAGGCAGCAACACCTGGGAGCAGAAGCAACCCAGCAGCTCTCCGTCTGTAGGCAGCGGGGTGTACAGCTGTCTCTGCGCAGCAGCAGCAGCAGCAGCAGCAGCAACAGCAGCAACAGCAGCAACAGCAGCAGCAGCAGCAGCAGCATAGACATCAGTATCATCATCATTATCATCCGCTAAACAATCAGCAGCAACAGCAACAGCAGCAGCAACAGCAGCAGCAGCAACCACAACAACATAAAACCATCAACAACACCACCAGCAGCAGCAGCAACACAAACACCAACACCAGCACCAGCAGCAGCAGCAGCAGCAGCAGCAGCAGCAGCAGCAGCAGCAGTTACTGCTAGTCTCTTCCATCTCTGTTCTGCGGATATAAAAAGCCTAGAAAACAGCAGCCGCGCTGTGCATCCCTCTGTATATACAGTTGGCTGCTGCCCCACTGCTGCTCCTGCTGCTGCTGCTGCTGCAGCAACAGGATAAAACCCCACGCCTCCTCCTGCTGCTGCTGCTGTTCCTGCTGCTGCTGCTGCTGCTGCTGCTCTTCTCTCGCTGCCTGGAGCCAAACGCCCCTTCTCTGGATGGGCTGAGAGATGCTCCTGGCCAGCAGCAAAGTTTGCTGCTGCTGCTGCTGCTGCTGTTGCTGCTGCTGCTGTTGCTGCTGCTGTTGTTGCTGCTGCTGCTGCAGGGCTCTCGATACTCTCTGCTCCTGATGCTGCAGCAGAAGCAGCAGCAGCAGCAGCAGCAACGCTCGGACCCTCTCCGGATGGGCTTTGTGTCTTCCCCTTCTGCTGCTGCTGCTGCTGCTGCTGCTGCTGTTGCTGCTGCTGCTGCTGACTGCGGATTCCCCTATTCCTTCCAGCAGCAGCAGCAGCAGCAGCAGCAGCAGCAGGGGGTTTTGTGTTTCTGTTTGTTCTTAGTGTTGCTGCTCTTATAGATGGTAGGGGTATTGCTGCTCTATGCTGCAGGGGGGCCCCCAGGGGCCCCTCGTATGGGGGGCCCCCCTCGCTGCTGCTGCTGCTGCTGCTGCATTTGCTGCTGGCTATTATCCATAGACAACGCAGACTGGCCATTCCTGCTGCTGCTGCTGCTGCTGCTGTTGCTGCTGCTGCTGCTGCATGTACAGCTGCTGCTGCTGATTGTTGCTGCTGCTGTTGCTGCTGCTGCTGCTGATGTTACTACTGTCTTTATTGTTGCTGTTGTTGTTGCTGTTGCTATTGCTGCTGCTGCTGCTGATTGTGCCTCTGCTGCGGTTCCAAGTGCTGCTGCTCCGTG